AAGCCTTAAATTGTGGTAAGTAATCACCATTAGCATGTTAATAGCAGTGAGCAATTGTGCTATTTTTCTTGCAAATGCCGTGTGCATCATGTGTTAGTAGCCGTGCATTTATGTCATGTAGCATGATGGTGTTTTGTGCATAGATTCCCCCAACATTGCCCTAAGAGACCGTGCGCCCCCATTGTCTCTTTGCTAGCCTCTTTGGTCCAAGATTCCTCTCTTTTTGTCCTTGTGCCGTGTGGGTGTGTGTGTTGTCCTTTAGTGCACTTTGTCTCCTTAAAATGCCGTGCACTTTATGTGGGTTTTTGTCCACAAGCTTTCTTCTTCATGTAGCAAGTTCACGTGAATATATGAGGCAAGAGAGAAGCATGTGTGACAAGTGTTCCATGCCTTAATGCATGAGTGTCATGTGTCCAAAGCCTTGAGCATATTCCCTCCCTCTCTTTAGCCCATGCATTCGGCCATTATTAATGAGAGTCTTTGGGAAAGTTGTTCCATTTTTCTTCACCTAAGTTTCATTATGCCGAAAGTTTAGTGAGAGTAGTGTGAGTTGGAGTATTGTTTGTGAGCTACCGCCGAGAGCCACACGCAACGCCACAAGCCGCCGCACGCTACCGCGCACAACGCACGCACGCACGCGGAGGGGCACGACCGAGAGCGGGAGTTCGAGTAGATCGGTCTCCTGAGCTTTATAAGAGGTAAGTTCCCGACGGTTAATGACCGAGCCTATCATGTTTACTTAGTTCGAATTTCCCGTTAGTAGCATGCATGTGTGTTATGTGCGAGAAGCCTTAGCCCTGCCAATTATTGTCATGTTATAAGCTAATTATCCGAATCATGTTATGATTTTATTTGAATTCTCCGAACATTCCTCGCATACTTAGCTTTTATATGCAAAATCATGTTTAGTTTAACTTAAGTGTTCGGATAAACTAGTCATGTTAGTAGTGCTTTGGCCGAAGGGTTGTGGTCGCACACTTAGTGCGCACCACGGGCCACTCGCGTGCTATTGCATGTTAGTTCAACTCTCCGATTAATTATGTGATATCATGTTCAGTAAGTCATGTTCAATTATATTTGAATTGTTCGGAGGATAAGTCACGTTTGCGATGTTACGGCCAAGGGTGACGTGGTTGCGCACGTAGCGCACCACGGGCCGTACTTACTTGCTCGATATATTAAGTTCGTTATTCTCGTGCATTTTCATGTGATATATTCAGTAGATTATTAAGCATTTTCAGTTTGGTTAGAATTGCCGAGGATAATTGTGATTCGGTCGTTAAACGGCATGACGCCGTCGGCGGCGCTCGGCGCGCCCGCCGCGGCGTTAGTTCAAGCCTTCGCATGAATCTTCATGA